GCAGTCCGGAAAAACTTCCAATTTTTTGTCCGAACTTCCATTTTCAGCAAATGAAGAAGCCTACGCGACAAGCAAATAAATAGATGATGTCTTGAGCTTCAGAAATTATCGAGAGATCACAGCAAAAGCCAGAGAACTCGAGAGAGGATCAAGACGAAGTTTTCCGGAAATAGAGATTGAAGAACCGTCGTCGAGAGATCGCTATGAGTTTCTTCTCTATCTATTTTCCATGTTTCTCTTTATTGATTTGAACTCATTTTTTATTATGGGTTGTGAGTAATCATTTCACTGTAGCTAGGGATTTAATCTTGTAGGGATTTGTTTGGTTTTTATTTTCCGAGACTACGTTATCGATACTCGTCGGTTTGATTGAATTGAGTTTATTGCTTTTGATCTTCTTGACATGTTGATTGATTGATCTTAGATTCTGATTTGCAATGAAAGTTGGGATTAGATTCAGAACGAATTCATTGAATAAGTTGATTAAAACTATTGAAAGATAGGTTAATCGATTTAGGAACTGTGATAGTGATCGTTAATGTGTTTGATTATTTAATCTATTAGGTTGAAAGATCGGTAGGTTGAATTATTGGATAGTGGATTTGGGACTTGAAAGAGCCAAAATCTGATATTAGAACTTGAGGTCCCCGATTAGAGTTCGATATTCGTAGATTCTTCATCCTTAGAAACAATCCTTGCGCGTTAAGGTTATCCCGAAACTACGGTGGTTTAGTTATCTGATTTTACTTAGTTTGTTTATTGCTTTATTTTCGATATTCACATACTTCATCTGATATTTTCTGATCTGATTTTTGGTCGAGTCTTGTTCCTGGAGTTAACTATTCCCTGTGTTCGACCCTGGTATTATAGTCGATTCGTACGCTTGAGGTATTTGATGTGTCTAGGTTCTTTATTACTTGAACTTATTTATACAGCTAGATTAGCGCTATCACCAACGTTGCAACATTTTCTGTTTTTGCTCCTTTTGCAAGTAATTCTGACCCATCATTTCTACCGTAATCAGTATTGCGTCTCAGACCACCGATGACACAACAACGAACTTTGACAGTCAAGCACCACAAAACGTTAGAAATTTTTTAAACCGAAACAATTGGGATAATAAGATAAAATACCATTTCTGGCGGGATTCTTGACTCTTCCAATATCCACTTATCGAGCATCTTGGAGAGACGGGGCCTAGACAACTGGGAGTCCCACGTTATTCTCTTGTAAGTGATGTATAATACTCTAATGCTTGGCACTTACCCCCTGTCCGGTGCGAGGCTGCTGTTGATTTCAATAATCAGCTAATGCATCTATATCTACCAAACGCCCCACAGAGGAGGACATATTTTACTAACCATTAAGCCATTCTCTTCGTCAAGGGCATGAGTAATGCTCCATTCTTAATTAAGTATGTATGTATGTACTAACAAGGGTATGGATGGGGTTTTAAAGATGGCACATTTCAGTAATGATCCTCAAGCAAGCGAAGGGAAGAGAAACAACTTACTGATGGCAGCAAAGGGAGGGGAAAATATCCACAAGAAGCCGCGCGTGGAGTCACGCTCCTCTTGCCCACCCCTCAAGGTCCTAATTTTAGCCCTAAACCCAAGACTAAGACATACTGCATGTGTGTATGTATGTATGTAGTTGATAATTCTTGGAACTTAAAACAGGTTAGGAAAGAGAAGTTAGGGGAGAGAATAGCAGCTCTACAGCAGCTGGTTTCACCCTTTGGCAAGGTAATTATTTAATGGGATAATCCCAAAAAAAACACTGAACTTTTCAATTTTGGTAAAAAAAACACTAAACTATTTTTTTTGTCAAATAAACACCAAACTTGTTTAATGAAACAAAAAAATACATGAACTCTCTGTCGATTGACAAATTAGACAAAATGTGCTCATGTGGCATTCAGAAGTGCAAACGTGGCGTTGAAAGGTTATTCGGCTTCGCCACATCAGATTACACGTCATAATAAATTGATACTTTTATTATACGTTGATAAAATTTAAAATCAGAGATTGGTTAAAACTTAACTCGGAAATTTAAACCGTTCACTAAACCGATTTCTACAAAAACTAGATCTATTTAAGATCTTCAGAGATCTCAGATCTAAACCGGTTTCTCTTCTCCTGCAAACAATTCACCGATTCAATCTTCATCAAAATTTATGCATTCAAGGAAACAATGAACCATTTTTTTCATTCCTAATACCAAAACATTCGACAAATATGAAAGACAGAACGACATGAAAATGCCCAAAGACTTTTGAGATCACTTACCTGAGGCGCTTCCATGGGATAGTTTTCTGGAAAATCAACCTGAAACTGATAATTTTCATTCGCACAAACTGTCCCAGGAGCTCCAGTAACCTCGATTCATCAAACACACGAAATTCATAGAAAACGGAACTTAATCGATCGAAATTCCCCAAAAATATCCGCACATAATCGAAAACGGAACTGGGGTTGTACCTTTGAAGATTATCGGTGACTTTGTGCTTAAACCCAGAGGGAGGATTTATTTGCCACCCTGTTAACTCTTTCTGCAGCCTATTGCTCGCGATCCTGCTTGATGCCTGAGTATGAGAACCAAAACAGAAGCTCAATAAAATTTCGAGAAAGAAAAATCAAGCATCGATGTCTGAAACGGAAGAACACGCGCGAAAATTGAGATAAATCTCTTATAGTTATAGCAGTAATGGAGAAAAATAGAAGCCTTCCGATCTCAGATCTGTGAAGATCTTAAATAGATTGTGTTTGTAGAAATCGGTTTAGTGAACCGGTTTAAATTTTCGAGTTAAGTTTTAACCAATCTCTGGTTTTAAATTTTATCTACGTGTCAATTTATTCTGACGTGTAATCCGACGTGGCGAAGCGGAATAACCTCTCAAACGCCACGTTTGCACTTTTGAATGTCACATCAGCACATTTTGTCTAATTTGTCAATCGACAGAGAGTTCAGGTATTTTTTTATTTCATTAAACAAGTTTGGTGTTTATTTGACAAAAAAAATAGTTCAATGTTTTTTTTACCAAAATTGAAAAGTTCAGTGTTTTTTTTGGGATTATCCCTTATTTAATCTGGTTTTATTCATATATATTTAACTTAATTAATTATTCCATAAAAAATTTAGAATTAATCTCTCATTATCTATATGATCACCTTTTGTAAGTTTTGATAATTTTTTATTTCTTATGTTGCGTGCAACTAATTAGATTTATTGATAAAGTGCCAGACTGATACGGTATATGTACTGATAGAGGCGATTGGATACATTAAATTCCTACATAACCAAATCGAGGTAATGTGAACGCATGCATGTTATACGTAGATACAACCGTGACACATACCTACATGCATATGTATATACACACATATATATCGGGTGGGTATTTCGGTATTCAGTTTGGATTTGGTTTAGAAATCATTTGGGTCGGTTGTACAAATGTACCAATCGGTTATTATTTTATATTCGATTCGGTTTCGATTTTTGTTAAGAAAATTTTAGATTTTCTTTAAAAAAAAATTTGGCCTTTCGGATTTTTAATATTCAGTTCGGAGAAATTCATTTTTCTAAAAAAGTTAGCGTTCAAAAATTTTAGACGATTCAATTCGTAATGATACTATATTTTTTGGTTCGGTACCATTCAACAGAATTAACCATACCGAAACACCCACCTCTATATATATATATACACACACATACATACGTCTTTCTCCCGACATTCTTCATGATTCTTGTTTCTTTGGTATTATTTAATAATGTGGAATAATCCATAATTATTTATACATGCCTATCTAGACATTTAATAAATATTAAGAAGGTAGTCTAAATTCAATGCACTATAGTAATATTTTTTTATACATGCCTATCTAGACATTTAATAAATATTAAGAAGGTAGTCTAAATTCAATGCACTATAGTAATATTTTTTTTCCAATTTAATTGGTTCCCTATGCTCTACCTTTGTTATTCTAACTTGCCTTTAAAGCAAGCGATTTACTACGGCTGACCTTTATTTACAATAATCTTCTTTGTAGAGTCTAGAGCACTAATTACATAGAGATAATTTTGATTTTATATATATATATATATATATATATATATATAATATATCTATATTATATATTTTGTACGTTTAAAATATTTTATATATTTCGTTTGAGTTTACAGAAATATGTATAATCATTTAATTGATAAATTAATCAAGTTGATCCTCGTTTTGCAGACTCTAAGCGTCCCCTATATGAGGGCGTCTAGGAACCGGACAGTGAAATCATCCCAAAGGATAATCATGAAAAAATTAATTTTGAATATGATTATTCCATTAATCTAAATCATAATTGAACCCTTATCTTTTGATTATTTAAATTAACTAATTCTCTAATTTACCTTTCTAGGGTTGTGCATTCAATGACGGAATGAAGAACCGAAACAGGATCTAAGAAGCCGAGGGCTATGTCTTGTGCCATTGTCATGCATGACTTACTTCACCGGAGACGTCGGCGGTAGCGGCGGCCCGGGTTCCGGTTTCTGGCCTGCACCTCCGGGATACAGAGGCGGGCCATAATCGCCGATTAAATGAATGGCTAGGATTAAGCCAAATTTATATTAATTTTTCAAGAATATGTTTTGTTTTGTTTTTGCTCATTTTGTAAGTTGTGTTTTGTTAGTGGAGCAAAGTTGGTCGGTTTAATTTTGGTTTATTAATGTTAAAGAGAAATTCAAAGGAATATAATGCTTCACATTATTTTCTGTCGTCTTTATAAATGTTTGCGTATTATGTTTCAACAAGAACCGGATTCAGATTACACAAAACCGATGTAAATTGGGTTAAACCGGATTGGTTTTGTTTTCAAGAATACACCGACCTAAACAATGATTTTCCCGCCAAACATTTGAAATTCAAATGGTTCGCCGACCTGCGGGATCCTCTGAGCGACTATAAATAAGGATTTAGGCAAGGAAAAAACGATCACAATCTTGCTATCTGATTCCAAAGAAGAAAAAACAAGAGCTCTCCGATCTTCGATAAGCTCGAACAGCCTTCAGCGGCGACTCTCATCGTTCGCTCTTTTGTTGTCTCTGTTGCGAAATTAGACGAATCTGCTCTTCGGTTCTGTTTGGTGTTCGTCTTCGAAGGCTTTGCTTGGTGTCGCGAATTGTTGTTGAATTTCGTTTAGATCACAGATTTCTCGATTTTTTTCTCTCTAACGTACTACTCGCAGGTTATTGCGATCTTGTCGGTGCTTTTGTTTCGCTTTCTTTTTGTGTTGTTTGAAAATGGATGCAGGAATTAGGAACGCTTCTTCACTCTTGAAGCCTTGCGGTCAGTGGCTATTTCCACCAAGGTTTCTTCCCGCAGTAAATTCCCGCGACAATGTGAGTTGGGTTTTCTCAGATTTCACAAATTAGGGTTTTTCTTTTTATGTTCTGAAATTAGGGTTTCTTATTTTTTGATTAATCTTCTTTGATCTCGTCATGGGACCTTCGTTTCTGTTGATTATGGCGTTTCTGAATTGCCATTTTACAGTTTTCGAATGGTTTGATCTAGAATTAGGGTTTGAATGATCAGTTCGTGAGAAAACGTGAGCGGGGTTCTTCGATTATCAGAAATTAGGCCAGTTGTGTTTGTTATATGTATCCTTCTAGAATTTCTGAATTTTGAATTAGTTTGAAGAGTAGTTAGGGTTCTAATTTTCAGTCTTGATTTGTTGGTGCTGCTCCTCGATTCAGGCTTTGGGGTTTACTAGATAGGAAATCCCATGTTACCAATTCTGAGATTGGGGCTTTTCCATTTCATTTGTCCTAAGATTTAGCCATATTTGCTGTGTTTCTTATTTCAGGTGGGTTTAATGCGAATGAGTTTAATTTTTTTGGTTTCGTTTCTTCTTCAGATATGGGTTGTTGTATTTCTTTGAAAATTTTATCAGACATTCACGTATATTTTCTTGCCGAAAAGTTCTAAATCCTAAGTTTCTGTCTTTTACCAGGCCGATAGATTCATACCAAACAGATCCGCCATGGATTTCGACTATGCTCATTACATGCTGACCAAAGGGCGGAAAGAGAAGAAGAAAACGACCACAACCACAGAGGTGAGTTCCCCATCTAAAGAGGCCTATAGGAATCAATTGGCTGAGATATTCAGCATGAACCGGACCCGCATTCTCGCCTTCAAGAACAAACCTCCTGCTCCCGTGAAACTGCTTCCCAGCGACCAATCTGTACCTCTTCACTGGCAGCCTAAATCTATGAAGCCTCATAGAAACATTCCTCAGGTGTGTATGCCAAGATGCACTGATTTACATAAGATTTATCCAGTGGGAAAGATCAATGTGTTCATATTTTGATTTGTGAAACTTTGTGTATGCCAGAAGGCTGTGAGTATACTTGATGCCCCTGAAATCAAGGATGACTTTTACCTCAACTTGCTGGATTGGGGGAGCAAAAATGTTCTCGCTATAGCATTGGACCAAACTGTATATTTGTTGGATGCTTCCAGTCGTTCGATATCCGAGCTTGTGACGGTTGTTGATGAGAAGGGGCCTGTGACAAGTGTCAATTGGGCGCCTGATGGTCGTCATATTGCAGTTGGCCTTAACAATTCTGAAGTGCAGCTATGGGATTCTGCTTCCAACCGAATGGTAATTCTGAAATCTCAACTGTATCTCACTTTTTACGGCAAACATGTCCTAACCTAACTCAAACGTGTCGTATTTACTTGCACAGCTGAGGACGTTGTGCGGTGGACACACCTCTAGAGTAGGATCATTAGCATGGAACAATCACACCTTGACAACTGGAGGAATGGATGGACAGATCATCAACAATGACATTAGGATTAGGTCACATATCGTGGGGACTTACAGGGGCCACAGGGATGAGGTCTGTGGGCTGAAATGGACAGAATATGGCACGAACCTTGCAAGTGGTGGAAACGACAATCTCGTACACATATGGGATCGGTCCATGGCATCTTCAAACTCACATACGCAATGGCTTCACCGGCTGGAGGATCATACATCTGCAGTTAAGGCTCTTGCATGGTGTCCATTCCAAGGGAACTTGCTTGCAACAGGGGGTGGTGAAAGAGATGGTGCTATCAGATTCTGGAACACAAACTCTGGAGCTTGCTTGAATTGTGTCGAAACTGGTTCCCAAATTAGTGGTCTGATATGGAGCAAGAATGAAAGGGAATTGCTTAGCTGTCACGGGTTTGCACAGAATCAGCTTACACTATGGAAGTACCCATCAATGGCGAAAATGGCAGAGCTCACAGGTCATACCTGGAGAGTCCTATCTATGACCCAGGTAAAAGTAGACATTACGGTTGCAACTAACAAAGATGATTCACAGCTTAACATTTGTTTGTTCCTAAATTTGTTTTATTTGTTGGCGATGTGTTACGCAGAGTCCCGATGGTTGTACGGTTGCTTCAGTGGCAGGAGATGAAACACTGAGGCTCTGGAATGTTTTCGGGGATCCAAAGGCAATTACAAAAGCTGCTGCTAAAGCCAATCCCAGACCTTTTTCCCATGTGAGGCATCATATACGGTAAAGACCAGAGTCAGATTTGTACAGATACGTACACCTCCTGGTATTCAGGTACAAACAGATGATATATGGAGGTTTGTGTATATTTTCACTGGAAGCTCGGGTGTACTTTGACTCTTCACTTTTATATCCAAATGTAACAGAGAGAATGTGCTATGGCTCATAGTTGTATGATGACAACTATATTATAACAATACCATAATTGAAACCCAGAATAATCAAAGTATTCACACCTATAAGGTCGGATGTTTTGTATCCTATGCAAATCTTGTAGCTTGAACTGTCGTTAAATTTTCTGTAATCCAAGATATTTGCAAGGCGTGTGATGGGATCAGACAAGTATTTGTCTAACGTAAAAGTGGGTCCAAACATGAAGGAATCGAGTTGTCTTTGCAACTTGTGCAAGAGATTCCCTTCCAGGACTCGTGGAACAACTTTTCCAATTAAATCATGTCAGACCCGAAAACAAGCTGATATTCACTTGTGACCAATCAAATATCAATCTAAGTCCCAATTTCAGAAATTTTGGCGTATAATAATGAAATGACTCTACGAGGAATATGAATGCCAGTCCAGGAGCTAAGCTGGCAATGAACAGTAAGGCTAACATCGAAATTCATTCCACCGATCGTGAAGTTTGTATCGGACACGAGCTTAAGTAGCAACCAAATACAAGGAAAGAAGTCGTTTTCCGGACAAGAGGAGGTGTTCGGCCAAGGATGGGGAAGATGCGAGCAACGTGGTCCAAGGGAATGCTCTCACCGATATTTTTATTGAGCTCACCGATGGTCCATCCATTGTTGGCGACATGGTGCTCAATGAACTTGCCCAGAGATGCACCTTCCATGTTAACAACCTGTGCAACATGTTTGTCATTAGCTAATGACCTCGATGTAAGATGATAATTACAATGGCGATATATAATTGGCATCCAAAACATGTATATTCCCCCATGTTGAATTCATCTACGCAAAGCAAGTATGGTTATATGGATTTCGACTGTGCTCATTACATGCTGAACGAAGGACGAAAAGAGAAGGAGAAAACGGCCATAACCATGGAGGTGAGTTCCCCATCTAGAGAGGCTTATAGGAATCAATTGGGTGAGATATTCAACATGAACAGGACACGGAATCAATTGGAAAACAAAACCAATCCGGTTTAACCCAATTTACATAGGTTTTGTATAATCTGCTTATTGCAATATATTCTTTCCAACTAGGTGTGAACCGCGCGTTGCGCGGTTTATTCTTTTTTGTTGTCAATTTAAATATTTGTTATTTTATTTTGAAAAATCATTGATATAAAAATAACAAAAGTTATATATTGATCTATATAGAGAAGGGAGAAGAGGAAGGAATATAGATGTCATTATATTATTATATTATAAAATTATTTTTATATATATACAGAATACTAATTTTTTATATTTTTCACGGTGAATTATATGTTTAATCAATATAATAGGTAAGGTTTTTTTGTATTTTTTTATGTATATATTCATATAATAATAATAATAATGATGATGTTTTACACTAACCAATTTAATACAATTTTCTATATAAATTAAATGACAATAATTTTAAAAAAAATTCAAACCGAATAAAAGAAAAAAGTACAATAAAATTTGGATATAATCCAATCAATTAGAATCTCATGAATCGAAAAATTATTTGTTTTTATGTTTTTATTTAGTAAATAAAATTTAGAAAATTTTTTATGCAGAAATAATAAGGATTATAAACCAAATGGATATATCAATCGTTTTTTCAAAATGGGATTTTGGAGAAATGTTGTGATCACTTATATTGGTTTTGTGTTACGTGCTTCTGCATTCAAGAAGGAAGAACTTGTAGCGGCATGGCGAAAGACGTACAAAGGGATTGGTATGAAAAGATTTATGATTGACGTTGACCATTTCTTTGCTGTGAATCCTAAAAAACTTTTTTGTACATGCTTAAAAAAAATTGGAGAATTTTGAGATCAAACTCTAATGGAAAAGGTGGTTATTATATATAAATATTTTTGTTTTGTAGAATATTTGAATATCGATAAATAAATTAAATAACTAAATAAATCGTGTAGAAATCTTTTTATCTTCTCGTTTTTAAGTTAAAAGAAGAGGAATTTACAAAGTGGTTATTAGGATATAATCTATAATAGTGATCTTGAAAACGCATTGAAGAGAGATGAGATGTTTCGTATTATTCAGGGCTTCAATTTAACCCACTCGTACCATCCATCCAAAGCATCCTCTTTCACAAAGTTGAAATTATACCTACAAAAAATTATCATATTATTTTTTTATTAGTTGCTTCCTATTATGTGAGTGTCTTTTGGTTTTTTTGGATAACCGGGTTTCTTGGGCTGAGGCCTAGACTAATCTCGAGACCGGAAGCCAGCCATGTGATTTGAATTATACGCTCCCTCCCTAGCTTGGTGTTCGAACTCGGGGCAGGACAGACGCTTTGCGCTTCCGTTTCACCGGTTGAACTACCCAGATTGAGTCATTATGTGAGTATCTTGTAACGTAGATCTTTATCACCATGAAAAAACCTTCAAGTTCAGCTTCCGTCACAGTCGACGACCTCGACGACCTTCCAACTAGCGTTCAGTTCCTCGGTGAATCCATGAATGGATCAGCAAGAGGTCGAGGGTCATCGTAAGGTATCCTCTGAGTTAGGATTTTGACAATGCCCTCCGGTCGACGAAATATGACCGACGACGCTGCTTTCCAGCGGCTCTCCCAAATCTTTCGGCATAAACCCATCGCCGATTGTAAGTTTTTATTGGCGAATAAAGTATATTCATCGATTATCCTTTTGCCTCCTTGTGACACCCAGCAAGAGGTCGAGGGTCATCGTAAGGTATCCTCTGAGTTAGGATTTTGACAATGCCCTCCGGTCGACGAAATATGACCGACGACGCTGCTTTCCAGCGGCTCTCCCAAATCTTTCGGCATAAACCCATCGCCGATTGTAAGTTTTTATTGGCGAATAAAGTATATTCATCGATTATCCTTTTGCCTCCTTGTGACACCCAAAACCCGTATCCCGCAATACGAGTTGCGCCACATGGACAAGTAAAATAAAAATCGCATTTTCCAAAAATCTGCGGGAATTTAAAACTTTTATTTTCAGAGTTCAGCGGAAGAAAACATTCATACATACATATACGGTACATTATTCCAGTTATAATTATACATAAAAAGTGGTAGTATCACATTATTACAAACCATAAAAGTCTACCACCGATATAACACAAAACCGTTCCCCGAAAACGTAAATGTACCGTAGAGAATAATTATACATGATCACACGGCAGGTCACCCAAGTCTCTAACGTCCGCCGCTCCTCAGCTACTGCTGCTCACGACCTGAAACGTTGCGTAACAACGTCCTAAGCTAATTGCTTAGAGAGTGAACTCGGGCGTAACCCGGAGTTCCATTCTCATGGTGCCAGAGAAAGCACAAACATATATATATATGTGTGTATGTACTAATATTCTAATAAACAGGAATTGAACACATGAATCACAGTAAGCACGCAGCAATCACAATCAAGTTCGTACGACAAGTCGGCCGTACGACAAGTCGCAGGACAGAGTCCGTCAAATCGTCTCTACGCGCACCATGCGTAGGTAGGTACTCCCCATGTGCGTAGCACAACCACCTCTCTCCTCGGATTCCATCTACTCCGCATGACATGATGCAAATATGAGATAACTCCCACTAAGAAAAATAACCCTCTAGTAATTTTCTTGGTAGGCTAAGATCCATATTTCACATAGACTTGAGTCAGCTTTGGCATGACGCTCAAGCCTATGCTATTTAGGTAGACATCCAATGTCAAT